TATTATATAAACATTAAAATAAAGCTTTCCCACAGCAGCCCATAGTAGGCCAGAGGGTCATGGAAGTTTAAGGTTTTGTTAAGGATGTTAAGGTTTTTGAAAAATGGCATGATTGTGGCAATGTGATCGGCATTGTGCACAGGGTGGCTTTAATTCCTAGACAAACACCTAGACTTCCCAGACTAGGTGCCCATTGGTCTGAAGATTGCGGGGTTGAACTCTGTTTCTTAACAAAAGCAGTATAGTGCGTTAATCACTGAGCCATCGTGGCTCTATATTAACATTGCAATCCTATAAAATGATTTCAGAATCGATGGTATTAAAGCTTGAAAAAAGTAATTAACTTCCAATCCTCGGTTTAGTTCATTAAAATTTTGCATTTGTAAAAATTGCATCATTTGTAAAAGTTTTGACCATGATCTTTCAGATTTAGCCAACAGTTTTAATACGTAAAATTTTCACAAATATTTACTGCCAAAGCATAGAAGTGTTTCCATACTTTTTTATCCAAACTCTGTATGCTGAATAAAATTTTCCACTTATTTTATTTTTCTAGAATACTATTTTTACTGTAATCTGTAAAAATCTGCATGTAATTCTTAGTAAAACTTTCATATATATATAAATATTCATCTCGAAATATATTTAATTATGTACAATTTGTTTTAAAAAGTATTGTAATAAGTTTTACTTCGTAGTGCTTTTTTATTACATAAATTTCCATCAAAATTTTTTCTATTTTTATAAATTTTAAGATTAATCATAAACTATTTTTAGTGTTTGAACATTTGTAATTATAATTACTTTTGATATTTTTAATTTATGACTTACATTTCTGTGAGAAAACAATGTTAAAGTTTATGTATACTTCAAAGGCTAATAAAACGCTATTTTAAGAAAAATAACTTAAATTTAATAAAAAATATTACAAATCTTTCGAGACAAGTAAAAATTATTTAATAGAATTTAAAGTATTAAGTTTTTTAAAAAGAAGTAAGTTTAACACACAACTATGTGCTTATGAAGTCTTTTTTTTTACACGTGAGAGTTAATTAATTTTGTAAGACATTTATCCATCTTTCCATGCATACCTAATTATAATCGTTGTGAATTAATAATATAATAAGAAATTGTTTCGCAAAACCTTTTGTAATCGAATAACAATTACAATAAAAATTAAGTAGATTAGTTCTTATTTAAAAAATTCATTAGAATTGAATGAAGGGGGTTGCATTTTAATTTTCTTAAAAACTTTTTTACGAATACTTGTGAAGGGGGGAATTATGTTAGATCAAAAGTAAATTAAATTAGCAAAAATTAATTAAATTAATTATGTGTATTATAATATTTTAAACATGTATACATGTTTTTTTTAAAAAAAGAATATGGAAATGAAATTAATACGAATAGTGATTAAATTTATTATAAATCAGTTTGATTTAGAATATTTATGTTATTTTTAAAACAGAAATATTCTAACACTTTCAACAAAATACTCTGCTTTCGTAAATATTCAATATATTACAAATATAAGATGCAAATATAAGGTACAAGCAGGTTCAGGATAAAGAAATTTTGTTTTTGGGTGTTATGTCTCTTAAAATTGGGAATGTGTGTCTAATTATGTATTGTGAAATGGGAAATATCTGTCCAATTATATATTTTCGCGTTGCAATTGCTAGTTATAAAACATATAATTGTTTGTAATACTTATCGCTTTTGTGTTGTACAACTTTAATTTGTTTTTTGATTTGTTTTTCGAATTAATGCGTGCAATAATATGAAATAAATTATCTTAAATAATAAGTAATTAAATAATTTTCATTCGATAAGTCCCACGCATTAGTAGTCCCACGCATGCACGTGAATCTAGACATTATCCTTGCAATTATGTGTATTACATAGAATATAAATAGGACAGAAAAGTTATATATTGAAGATTCTCTATTCAGATTTGTCTTAGAGACAGTTAAGCCAACGCCTCCTATAACTGAAAGCCTCCACACAGTTTTATATAGGTAGTCCGATCAGACCACTGTGAAGGACATCCACTTTCCGAACGAGTCACTTAATACAAAATCTAGTTGAAATAAGAAAGTGGTAGCAAATATATGACTAAAAATTTGTTTTATTTATGAATATTATTGGTTTGCCTTATTCACTTGTCAACCCCTACAGATTCAATTCTCAAACATATATGATGAATTTCTCTCAATTACTTGGTTTTGGGTTCATGCGCACAATTGCTTCACTTTTTAAACAGTCTGCGCGTACTACTTATAAAATACCGTGTGGAGGATTTTTGATGTAGGAGGGACTTACAGAAAAAAAGCGGAGAAAAAAAGCGGTTAAGCGGACTTACAGAAAAAAATAATATTCAGTGATTTTGAGCAATTTTCTCAGAATGATTATCGCGTGTATGAAAGGATATTAAAAAAAAGAAGATTAGAAATTACCTGAGCCTTTTCTCGAAAGAAGCTGAGTCAACTTTTAAGATATTTTTTTTCCCGCTGTCATGTTGCACATATTAAAAATTTAAAAAAAAATCATTTGCTCATATTCAACCAAAAAAAAAAAAATCAGTCAGTTTTAAAACATTTAATACTTTTTTTTAAAATTCATACCGAAACAAAAGGGGTTAGATCTCTCTGGCGATAGAAAAAATAAGAATATTTAGAAGAATATATAACAATATATTAGAAGAAACGGAAAATCAGCATTATTTCTTTATTATCCAATCAATATTGATTATTCCGAAGCATTGAAAACATGATAACGGTAAACAGTTTTTCTATTATGAAGTTTTTGGTTTTGAAAGATGTACTGATTGATTAGTAGCATTACATTTCTTTTTAAAGTTATGAGGAAAACAAGTCCTTTTTTTCGGAGGGGGATGGAGGGCCTGGTAGGTAGGGCATTTGGCCCATGTCCCAGGGGTCGTGAGTTTGACTCCCGCCAGCCGAAGTGCACACTAGTCGCAAAATATAGACTGGTGCATGCCAAATCGGTTGGGGGTCACGAATTCCTCTGGAAGTGATGAATCGGAGATTGATCGTGCTCTGGTTCAGAGTAAAATAGCGATTTGCGAATGGGTGAATGTGTCCTCCCTATAAAACACGATGTGACATATATATGTTGTCTTAGGATCATCCCCAGGGATGTCCCCAGGGACGTAAATAAATGTACTGTGGTTTTTTTCTTTTTTTTTGTTATAACATGGTATTATTGACAAAAACACGTATGGTTTTTCTTGCATTTATTGAATTTCACAAGCATTTCGCATTTTGATAATGTTATGATTTTAAAAGTCTCACCATAACATTTTTATTACAAGAGAAATGTATTTAATGCAATGAAAAAATCCTACGCACAGCGTAAAAATTTAACGATAATAAATCGGTTATTCTTAAACCCGAGTTAAAAGTCTTATTATTATTTAGAAAAATGCCCTTAAAAAATCCTTTTCTCTTATTTGGTAGTAGACAGTAGAGTAAAATGGACTGAACATAAGAAGAAACTTTAAGTACTTAGATTTGTTTAATAATTATTTTTTTTATAAATTTTTGAGTATGTCATTTTAAGTAAGTAATGTAGATTTTGTAAAATATGTACCTTAAAAAATGCTTTTCTCTTATAAGCAGTAGAGTAAGAAAGACTACACATACGAAATTTCGAGTTCTTAGATTTGTTTCTTTATTATTTAGCTTTTGAGCACGTCATTTTAAGTTCGTAAGGTACATTCTGAGCAAATCAATGGAATTAAGTCCTCAAAATCCTCGAGTAAGTACGGTGTCTCTAGCTGTTGTACAGCAAACGAAATAAAAATAATGGGCAACCCTGTAAGACTGTTAATCTAATGATCGGATCTTCACGTTTTGGGACTCAATCATAATGGTTTAAGAAGGTGACTTCAAATATGCTAATTAATTAGTGTAAGTGATCATTCAAGTTACGAAAACAGACAGAGAATAATACTTTCTCATAATTTGAAGACCTTTTAAAAATACGACTTGTTCAAAATTTGATTTCTCAGGAACAATTCGACAGATTTCGCTCAAATTTTGTAATTTGCTATTTAAAATTACATTCTTTAAAATGATGTAAAAAAAGTAAGTCTTGAAATTAAAAAAAGTTTTTCGACTATTATTAAATAAAAAAAAAATAAATATTAATTAAAAGATTTTTTTTGCATAGTTTAAAATGTTTTCGAGATATGGTAAAATAAGCAAAAAGTAAAATTAACATTAAGGGGTCCAAATTTTGGATTTCTCTCCTGATCAAACTGTATATTGTGACCGCACATTATGGTTGCGGCTACCTCTAGAGTTTGTGGTTCAAAAATCAAACTCCGTTGGAAAAAAAAGGTTTGTTTATTCAGAGAAAGTACGTTTTTGTGTCTGATTTCGTTGCTTTATCGTCTGCAGTAATTAATTAATTAATTGCAGTAATTCACCCCCTCGAAACATTAAGAATGAGTCCCAGAACGTGATGATCTGATTTTTAGCTCAATTCAGAGTGGTACATTATTTTTTGCGCTTTTGTTTATCCTTTATAGAACCATTCTTTTTCAGTAATTTTATACTAAAATAATTTGGGGCTTGAGAATGATGTAATGATATCGCAGAAATTTATTCAGCTTATTTCATGAAATTAATTTGATTCTTTGGACAATATTTTTTCAGTGGGAAAAGTTGGTGGCATGTTTTAACAACAAAAAAACGTAATGAGAAATGCTAAAATGAACGAGCAAATGGTGATTCTTTGGACAATATTGTTTCGGTGGGAAAAGTTGGTGGTATTTCTAAAATTTTAACTACTGTAAGGAATTGGTCTTAAGCTTCTATCTTTATAAATAACCTAATTTATAATTTTTGAGCTTTTAACTACAAAAAAACATAATGAGAAATGCTAAAAAGAATGAGCAAATAATGAAGTTGGTGGAAAAAATGCTTCTCATGATCTTATAAAGTGTTAATGCTGTATCCGTTTTTATTTTTTAGGAGTCGAGGACCAGATGAAATGGAATTTTGCAAAAGTAACGAAAGCAATGATCCTGGATGGATATCCTATCAACCAAATTGTGTAAGAGAGCAGAGATAAACAGAAAAAAGTGCCTGAAATGTAAAATGATGTAACATTGTATAGTTCAATAAATAAATGTAAAAACTATATTCGTTCGAGATTAGAATTTTGTATTTTTTAACAGTCAGCTTTTTCGAAAGAATTTTTATCCGATTATCAATGAAAAATTTTACAGAGTTATGAAAGTTCCAGTAAAGAAATTGACTTTTGATTGCCCTTAAAAGAGATCTCATTGTAAAAATAGCATGTGATATTAAAAAAATTGTTTGTATTTATTTATTATTTTATGAAATTTTGTATTTTGCAAAAAATAAACTCTGATTTTATTAATGATTCGGAATTTTGGAATGTTACTCAAATATATATCTGTTTTTATTTTTTAATTAAAATAAAATTATGCTTTTTTATATTTCAAAATTTATTTTTAATTCAAATATTGTGAAGTTTTCCTCTTTTAAAAATTTTATTATTAGTTCTATACTGCATAATTTAGCACTTATATTCTGTTAATACTTTTTCTAGGGTACCTAACAGATTAATTAATCCCGAATTTAAATTAACTTGTCAATTATCAATTCTATCAATAATCCATTTTATCAATTATCAATTTTATCAATTATCAATTTTATCAATTATCAATTTTATCAATTATCAATTATTCGTTAATTTATCCATTGACGCATAATTAAGTTAAAATTTATTTCACTGAGCAATAATTACTGTTTAAATTTACACAAACAGAAATACTTCTGAAAGTTAAATAAAAAATGTAATTTGAACTTCTCAGTAATTTAAAAAGGCATTATGTCAAGTAATTTTTTTTAATCTTATTAAATCTTCTTACTAATTAAGCAACAGATTAGCTTTCAAACTTCTAACAATTCAGTTAAGTACCAAATCGAGACTTTTTCTGTTCAAAGTTAAACTAATCAACTGCACACGCAAAAATATTTAAAAAATAAGCCGACGTATTTTCCATTTTAAATTAAACTTATTAACCGTTAAGAAGCGAAATTTTTTTAAAATTGCTTTGCAATTTTTTAAACTATCAAGTCATAGAAACTGCTCTTATATTATTCAATATCACTGTCAGTTAAACATCAAAATACACTTCAAAACTTTTTACACTTTAGAAAAATAAAGAGCTGAGCTCTGTTTCAGTTGACTCTCTTATAACTAGAACCCTAATGAATAATTGAAAACTTTTGAAATCAGTAAACCAATCTAATATTTTTTGTTCTATAAAAACCGAGATACCAATTAAGCTAGTGACAAAATAGACATTTTAAGAAAAAGACATTAGAAAAAAGAGAGAACACATAAACACGTAAGAAAAGACACTAGAAACAGACATTTTAAGAAAACACACGTTGCAGAATATGTTTAAAGTATAGTTAATTAACTTTTGGCAATATCTTAAAAAATAATTATTCATTTGTGGCACATTATGAACAAAATAAAATATGTTTTTTAATGATTCTAAACTTAAATGTTGTCATAAGACATCTTTCCTCTTAAATATTGTAGTTATTTACAGTTATTTCAGCAACATTATAATATTAATAGATGAATAAATGGTAAGATTTAGAACAATAGATATGTAGATACCAGTTAACACATAAATCACATAGAATATTTTGCATGAGTATTGCCTCTTTAAAGATGCAACTTACACAAGCTCAGTTTCTGCTTACATGCTGAGAAAGTTCATTTGTGTCTTGAACTGCCTTGCAGACATATCTGTACAATATGTGACGAGTCAGAATAAAGTAATCAATATATCATATGGTACTTACCAAAGGCAATTTTTTTTTAATATTTGCCCACAGTTTTGCTTTATAATTAGAATGGGATAAAATTGTATCACGCCAGCAAACACAGATAAAATACGATGTGTGACGAGTCAAAATAAAGCAGAGTCAAAATAAAGCAGAGTCAAAATAAAGCATTCAATATATCATATGGTACTTACCAAAGGCAATTCCTTTTTATATTTGCCCATATTTTTGCTTTATAATTAGAATGGGATAAAATTGTATCACGCCAGCAAACACAGATAAAATACGATATGTGACGAGTCAAAATAAAGCAGAGTCAAAATAAAGCAATCAATATATCATATGGTACTTACCAAAGGCAATTCCTTTTTATATTTGCCCATATTTTTGCTTTATAATTAGAATGGGATAAAATTGTATTACGCCAGCAAACACAGATAAAATACGATATGTGACGAGTCAAAATAAAGCAGAGTCAAAATAGAGCAATCAATATATCATATGGTACTTACCAAAGGCAATTTTTTTATATTTGCTCATATTCTCGCTTTACAATTAGAATGGGATAAAATTGTATCACGCCAGCAAACACAGATAAAATCCCTCATTCGTTTTTTACAAGCCTCAAGTTTCATTACATCAAAAGCAAAAAGTCAAAAGTTTCAAAAGAATCTTTTAAAAGCATGCACCAATATTTCACAACATTAAAAAATTAAAAAGCTTTATGTAAGCTTTTATTTTGAGGCTGCTGGGGACACGAGTTCACCTGATGGACTAATATATGATGAAAATGTATAGGTTGATCCAACTCTTGATGTACCATTCTTTGAAACTGAACTTTTCATTGGCATTGGTTTATGCACTGGTCGAGACCTTGGGCAGCAGCATTTAAGCAAGCGGTTCCGGAACTTTGAAGACATGAAACAGTATACCATTGGATTTAGACAACTGTGCAGGAATGGAAGTAGATAGAAAACAAAACGAGTTGTGTAGATTCCGTGGTTATAGACGTTCAAGCAACATTTTATGACAATTTCCATGATCAGCCGTGGACCCCAACAAATCAAGAAAAGTACTACGATTAAGATCAGCATTTTGATCACCTGAAAATGAATGTTTTTGCATTTATTGATCCATATCTTGAGATTTCTACGATCATAGTTAGGTTTCATTTAAGTTCAACCATAATGGTATGCAAATTATAACATTTTAAACTCAATTACACAATGCGATGCCGTTATAGGCATTGCATATTTCCTAGCATTTAATTGTTTTTTTTGTGGAGACTAGAGTGCCGATTTTTTTAATCATTCATAATCCAATTTTAATTATATTAAACGGTTATTTAATTTTTATTACATTTTATAAAAAAACAATATAAATATTTTATTCTCTTAACAATCAATGTAACGTCTAACTTTTTTTTTATTTCAAAACAAATGTATAAGTTATTAATTTATTGTCTAGTTTAAATCAAAAATCAAAATCTATTTTTTACTCTTTATTCCTTTAACTACTTTAATTCTTGAACTACGAAAATGTTTCAGTTATAGGGTTATCTTAATTCTCACGGTTTTTTGATCAAGCTGCAGCCAAATTATTTAAAATTCAATATAAGTAATGCTGGATTGGCTTTGTTTCGGGCTATTTCATCTATCGATAAATCGCCAACTATGTATCTCTTTCGGTGGTCATAAGTGTACGATAAGAACAATTCAGTCACTTCTTATTTAAATTTCTTGGCGTGAGGACTGGCGGTTTCGCCACTCAGTCCAATCATTATTAGTTCTTACACAAATTTCATTATATTTGATTATGCATCTCTTCATCCCTTAACACGTTCACGCCGGGAAACGTGAAAATAATGGTACGGGAAAAGAGAAAATACTGGTAGAAGAACTATTTCAATATATAATATTCGGGAGGAGTTAATCTATTCTCAACAATAACAGTTCACTGTAAGGAAAATTATAAAGGCGAAAAAGCAATTCAATATAAAAATTGCATCCGTTAAAAACAATTGGTAGTTGTGGATTTTTATTATTCCCCGAAAAAAACTAAGAAATGAAATTTATTGTTACCAGTTTTTACTCCGGTGCGCTGCCAAGATGAGACAATCTAGCGTGACCCACCGGTGGGACCCCGGATTGAACGAGTTAAGGGAAATAATAAAATAATGTTTAAGTAAACTAAACAAAAAATATTTATTTAGGATTATTGAAGAATAACCACATTAACAAATAAATAAAAGCTGGGGAGAATTTTCTATATCAACTTAGACAAAACGGATTAGTAACGGGAACGCCAACAGGACAAAAGCAACGGGAACAAGATGAGGGAACAGAAGTACTATAAACCTTATGCCAAGACTGTTGATTGAAAAAAATATCTGTGTCAGAAACGCATACCTGCCAACTCTTCCGGATTTTCCGGAAGATTTTATTTTCATATTTAAAGTGGTAGCAAAGTATGCATCANGCATTTGTCTGCTTAAAGTTGAAGTTTTAATTCCATTTTAATACCACTGGGAAAAATGATAATGGAAGGGATTAATAGTTGGCAGGTGTGGAAACGGACTAGTCGAGAATTCCACAGCGTAAACTAATACACCGTTTCTAATTTTGACTCATCCGTTGTAAAATAGAGCTGCTCATGTTTTTTTCCCCAGTATTTAATGAAATTTATTGAGAATAAAAATTGGTGGATTGATAATTGTAATTTTTCATTAAATTGCTTTGTTTCTTTGTAAACATAGAGTAGCCAATTTTCTGAAAAATTTCAAAACTGGTAGCAAAATATCAAAGAAACAAAAATGTTTTAACTAATTATTCTTAACAAGAAAAATACTTGCAAACCAAATGCTGCAACTGGACAAGAGAATTCTTTAAATTGATTAGGTTTTAAAATCGATTATCTTTATGAAAATTAAGTTTAAATTTTACCGCATTAAAAATTACTATGTCAATCTTCATCTATGCAAAAGTACCCCACCTTACCTTAGAATCAAGTTGACATGTCTTATATACTAGTTATTTGGAATTATATTTTCGTAGTGGTAGTTACACTACACCTATTATTCTGTGATTTTTGCATACTACAGCCATAGATGTAAATTTGTTCATTCTTTCCAAACATGACAATCATTGATTTATATGTGCAATAATGCCTCTTCACAAAACGCATACATACAATAGAAAACTACAACTACTACGATAATTATTGTTCCATGAAAATTCAACCCCCTCTCACAATGAAACCGGAACAATAGTCTCCACGATACGCGTTGTTTAGCGTTAAACTCATATTTATAAAAGTGAAAAAAAATATTTTTTAAAAAAATAGAGAAATAGATAATATTTTAAATTTTTGTGTCCTTGTTAATTATTAAGCAAAGAATTCGAATTTGCAGTTAAACTGACTCTTTCACTTAAAAGTTTTGCCTAGTAAGGGGGTGAAGACGAAGAAATAAACGTTTTTAATATTTTTAGTAAGTATATAATGAAATGTTTTAATTGTTTTATAAACATATGAGAATGGAAATTTTTATTTTCAGAAAGAAACAAATTATTGTTCCCAATTCTGATGAAGCATTAGAACTTTTTTTATAAATCTTATGTTAGTTTTGACTAAACTTCGGCAAACTTTTTTTTGTGCGTCACTTTTGAAAATTTTATAATAAGCAAATTTGATGTCAACAATGCTTTTTCAGGCTGCAGGAAAATATTTTTACCACCCAGCACTACATAAATTTTTTTAAAAATGAAATAAATAAATAAATGAATTTTTAGTTCCATGAGGGAAGAAATAAATACTGGAAAGTATACACCGAAGTTAAGAAGAAAGTGTTTCGTAAATTTATAAACAAACCTAATGTCTTATAAAATGAAACATGATGCATTCGCTACAGCAATGTAATGTTTAATAATGCATAAAATACTGAATCATAGAATATAACAAGAATTATAATGAGTCAAACGAATTTATTCATATAGTTTAACAATTAAAACTAGATATTTTAAAAGTTTTGAATTTTTATTAAAGTTTAACTTTAATTTTTATTAAAGCAAGTTTTTCGAGTTTTTAAATTAAATTTATTTTTTACCATATAGATTAAGTTTTTTTCCTACAGAAATAAAACCTTTGATCTACTGTTTATTTATGTATCTAAATAGTACAAAATCAATTAATTTGCCATATTTTATCCTGAATCCTCCCTGCAGAAATGGAGGATGTCAGAAACTTGATTGCAGACCATGTTCAAACATTAACAATATGTAACCAACTATAAGATTCTCTGAATTTCTTGTAACGTTTATGTAACGTTAACAAATATGAATACATAAAACTTATTTTATTAATAATCATAAAGAAAAACTGTTTAAAAGTATAAAGTTTAGCTAACTATTTGACTTGGAATCCCCGCATATGTAATTAAAATCCAACAAGCAAATATGAAATAAAACCAGCATGAAAAACCCTTTAAAATACACCAAATATTTCAATTTTAAATAAAAAAATTCGCAATTTAAAAACTCTACTTTATATATATTTCTGTTTATTTCAAAGAATATTTTTAAACTACAAACTTTTTACACGATTTTGATTAGTTTTTCAAAACTTAGTTCTGATGAAAGTTTTCCCGTTTATTTTCCTCTAAAATAACAGCGTTGCATGCGTCCAAAAAATTACCTTTTTTACCAGTTGCTGGTAATTAATTTTCGAACCTTCTGTTCTTACCTGTTGTCTTGCAGACTTCACATTTGCTCGAGTAGAGTTTCTGTGTAAATGAGAGGAAGCGGCTTCGTTACTGATACTGTCACGCGAGAAGGATCTTGATAACTCTCGAGAAATAGTGCCAGGTTTTTCGCTTAAATTTAAAGAAAAAGAAAAATGTTTATATAAAATACATGCTACATTTTTGATGCAGATGATATATTTCAAAATAGCATTAGGTTGTGTGATGCCATTATAGGCATTACATATTTCCAAACTTTCATTATTTCTTTAATATCATAAACTTTTTTTAATCATTCTTAATTCTAGTAAAATTAAATTAAATGAATTATTTTATTTAATTTTATCACAATTAAGTCCTCTGAAAATAGTGCCCGGTTTTTCGCTTAAATTTAAGGAAAAATTAAAAGGTTTTATGTAAAATACATGCGGCGTTTTTGATGCACATAAAATAATTTGAAATAGCATTAGGTTGTGTAATGGCATTACATATTTCCTAACTTTCATAGTTTCTTTAATTTTATAAACTTCTTTTAATCATTCTTAATTCTAGTAAAATTAAAATAAATGAATTATTTTATTTAATTTTATCAAAATTAAGTCCTCTAAAAGTAGTGCCGGGGTTTTCGCTTAAATGTAAAGAAAAATAAAAACGTTTTATGTAAAATACATGCGGCATTTTTGATGTATATAAAATAATTTAAAATAGCTGTAGCTCGTATGATGCCCTTATAGGTATCATGCATTTCCAAGCTTTTATAATTTCTTTCATAAATTTAATTTTTTTAATCATTATTAATTCTAGTAAAATTAAATTAAATCAATTATTAAATTTTTAGCACTTATAAATAATTTCATTCTTTCCTTAACAATCTATAAAACGGCAAACTTTATAATTTGATGCAAATGTATGACTCATTAATTCACTGGCGCGACTAAATCGAATATTAAAATCTATTTTTAACTCCATTTTTTTAAGCTGCTATATTTCTCTAACCACGAAAATGCTTCGGTTACAGCCTATCTAAAGCCAGAGCTGGTCTACACTTAGTTTGAAAATGGCTCAAAACGTCTATAGGGTTAAAAGCCACAGCTTCGTGAAAATGAAAAGCTTTTGTGGTCTAATTTTTTAATATTTGAAAACTTAATGCTGCATAACTTGGACTCCTAAAAATTTACAAAAACTGAGAATAAGGTAGTGATTTTGATAATTTTCATCTTGGTAGAAAGTTGTAGCCAAATTGGCGATTTTTTATATATTTAAGTATATAATAATAATTTTTAAAATAATTAAGTTACTTCTCTGTTCTAAAGCCCATATAATTCTTCACGCAAGATAATACATATAGATTAAAATCATCGCATTGTTTCAAGTGAAAGGCACCTAAACTATAGCTTTATATTTTCCTTGGTGATAGAGCTTCAAAAAACTGTGCTAATTCACTGAATTTGAAATTCTGTGCTTTATAAGTAGGGAATTTCTGATGTTCGATGGCCTCTCAATCTCGTCTAACCATTAATTAGATTTACAAATATATATATAAAGCTGTCTTTAGAAGAAACGATTTTAGTATCTCTAAAAAGAGATGCTGCTTAATATTTACGTTCACTTAATATGATTTTAAATAAGGCCATGTTCATTTTATTCAACTTATAATACTCGAAAATAAAAATCAAGAAACTTTTGTTTTGAAGTATCTCTCCGGTAATCCCTCTTACAGTACGAATGAAATGCACTTGGAATTTGTGCCACTATAATCAAGCTTCCACTGCAATAGCTTAGAACAGCAATAGATTAGAACTTACAGATAGAAAGTAAGAAATTAATAACACTAGCGGACACATTTTTTGTTGCGTTTATACAAATACTTGATCGTGCCTTATTAGGTTTAGGGACTTTAAATCTGAAGTTTGGTTTGCTGCTCAAGTTACAGTTATTTTCAATGCCATTTTCAGTAATTTTTTCTCGAAATGTTCAAGTTTAAAAACGTTATATATAACAGTGGTCGACTAAATATTGCGACAAACTTTTAGTTAAGGAACATCGACATGATTGAAATAGCATACGTCAATTCCCTATTATGAATATTCAGAAGCACGCGATTAAACAATTAATAACAGGGAAGTGCCCCTAGCGGCATACGATGGCCTTTTTTGGCAAGGTTTCCTATGAAATTCTTATGAACTTTATCTAATGCAATATATATATATATATATATGTAGTATTTAGTATTAGATAAAGTTTGTACTAGAGATACAGAAAAATAATGAAACATTTACCTGAAATTAGTCAATTCATCCATAGTCTTCGTGCTCATCCACAGTTCTGAAATAACCCAAGCGTAGCAGGTAATCATTACCAGTGAAGGTAGAATAAAAAGAGTTGAAAGACGATAAATTGCTATTGCAAATCCACGCCAATCACTAGAATCCTTACATGAAAAAATAGTAACATACTCGTAGTAATTGGTGAAAGTCATGCGTATTGTACCCTAGAACACAAATATATAAACATAACATTTCTCGTATAATATTTTCAAAAAAAATTAGCTACTGGTAGAGAAAAATTGAAAAGAGTTAAGATTTCGAATTCTAGAAAATAATATTAGTAGAACTTCAGTCTCTGGCCTAATTATAAGATTCTATGCAATTATAAGATTCTGTGCAAAATCTTAATGATCATGTGATACTATACAGCTTTATTGTTTTCATGCGACTGAAACCGGTTTGCACATTCGTGTATCAATTAGTTAAAATAGACGATATAAAATATAAAATCGACTATTGAGTAATTTAGACGATATATATTATATAAATATGGATTATTTCTTACATCAGGTATTATATTAATATTTCATAATAATTAGACCAAATTATTAGACGCACTGTAGTTATTTAATAATTACATGTTTTGCACGAGTTTATATGCAATACTTTGATATTTAAACATACATGTAATGGGTTTTTACTCAGGAGATTTTACATATATTGCATTATATATTACATTATTGTTATATATTGCATTACAATGTTAACCAATTGATACACGAACGTTAACAAACGCCAACCGGTTTCTGCTACGTAAAAACAATAAAGATGCATTGTATCACTTGATAACTAAGATTTTACATGGAATCTTATAGTCCGTCTAATAATTTGGCCAGAGATTTGATCGACGAATGTAATTGTAACTGTTAACCCTTTGACGCAGACGGGACACCCGCATTCCTTTTATTATTTTTTCACGCAACTATAAACCCAAGAAAATATATACTTTGGTATTTTTCAATAATAAAAAACGGCCTAAGAGTTGTCAGAAAAATCTGATAGATTTTCGGAATTATATTTGTATTAAATATAAGAAAAAAAATAAGTAGTCCGAAAAACATTTTCCTCATTCATATTCAAAAACTAATCAATAAATCATTCTGCAAATAAAAAATAGTTTCAAAGATGAATAACTGTCTCTCTTAGAAATAAATAACTAAAAATAAGAGTGAATTTGAAAAAATTAATGTTTAAAAGTGAGCTGTGTTTAGAAGATTTTACTTTTCATGCAAAAAAAAAAAAAAACTTTTTTCCCCAACAGATGTTATTGTAGTTGTAGTAGTTGCAGGCTTTTAAAAATATCTTATTTATGTTCATATTTCTTCAAGCATAAGATAATAAAGAAAAATAATTTAATATCCTTAATTTGAATATGTCTGTATATTTTTTTCCATTGCATGCCTTTTACCTTTTTATACCATCTGTCAATATATTTCTTGTTTTAATTACAGTTTGTAACACGATAATTAGTTTTAACATTTGTAAGAAATTTAAAGTTTTGTTTATTTTCTGTTTTACACACATAATTATTCAAAGAAAAAAGCTTTATTTCAATTTAAATGTTTTGAAAAGTGAAAGAAGATTTTTTTTAAAAACAAGACATTTAATGTTTCCGCAAATAACACCTTTTTTTTGCTTTCTTAAGCATTAAAACAATAAAGTACTTTTTGTTTGTCAGAAAGAGCAAAAAAAACCTAAATCTCAACGCAATTATTTTCTGTTGAAAAAAAAGCATGATTTTTAATTTCTTTAGCTGTCTTTTGTACGAATAAAATGAAAGTTAAGGTCTAAAAAAGCATTGAAATATATGTTTTTTTTCAATTTCTATAATCTAACAGTCCTATTTACTCATTCCCTGTCAAAAAAGACGGAACTTCTTGTTAAATTGGTGTGAAAAGTAATTTAATTTTAAAACTATAAGGACACGTGTTCAAATTTAAGAAAAAAATAAAATTCACATGTTTTGAGATAGAAAACACATATTTGCATAATAAATACATTATAATTGTTATTCAGTTTATTATTAAAAGAAAGTATCAAAATTTTCAGTTTTTATCTTTTTAAAAAGCACACGTGTGAGATTTCTAATTAAGAAAGACAAGCTTTGGGTCTTCTGCAAAGTTCGTGGCCATTTTCGATAGGCGGATACCCAAAATTCCGCTAAAATTTTTCAAGTGACAGCAAATTTCAAACTACAAAGTATATTTTTTGTTTTAAGAGAAAAGATCACTAAATTTGCTTACCACCTTAAAGATTTAAAAAGTTATAAGACAAACAAGAGTTTGGTATAAGCTGGATGAATATTAATTAAATTTAAGTGGTTGCGAAATTAGCAAAACTTCAAATTGCTTTGATAAGTAGCTTAGCAATATGTGAATATATTTGGTGAACCTTAGGGAGCTTCACCTACAAAAAATAAAGACGATTTTTTTCGTTCTACCTGATATAAAATGAGAGATTTCGCCTTTATGAGATAAAGGCCCTCTTTTTACCAATAGAAGAATGCTTTCGAAAAAAGTACTGTTGTTACTTATGCCACTTGTCAATACCAGCAAGCTTGCTTAAAATCACGCTAATTTTTAAGGCAGAGGGTATGTTTCTTGTTTGTTTTTTTTGGTGATGGCCAAGAATACGACTTCAGCCACACACACGTCGTTACCCGTTTAACAGACATGAGGCAAACATTCTCCATTCATTTATCCAAGATCGTAATTTTGACCTGAACCAGAGAACGCTCAATCTCCAATTCCGTACCCCCAAAAGTATGATTTCTTATTTGAACATGGAGGACTTTGTGATACAACGGATTAAAAGTGCATCAGCCACCTATTACTACACGGGGAGTCTTCGGCCACCTCAATCTGAACTACCATTCGCAAAAGCGTGAGTCCTGCTCCCTGCCAACCAGGCCATCTCGACCCCCTTGCTTTAGTTGTTAAAAGGACATATTTGGGTCGCGATAGCCTGGTTAGCAGGGCACTGTTCCATATGTTCAAGAGTTCATGGGTTCGATCCCAGTCGGCTGAAGATTCCCCGTGTAATAAATGGTGACTGATGTACGTTAAATCTGTCGAGTCGCAAAATCCTCCATGTTCCCATAACAAACCAACAACTCTGCGGGTACTGATCCAGAAGTTTCCTTGTCTTCTGGGTTGGTTAAAAATTACAAGGTTACGGAGTTGAACATCAGTAATCGTAAACCCAAAATTGGGTAGGCTGTTCAACGACAGAAATAATATTAAAATAAAATATTATGTTTCTGCCTCTAAGAAGAATCAAAAATATATATTGTCCCTACCACTATTTAAATATGAATAGGGGGCTGCGATTAGTAATTGTAAGTTAGTGAAAAATAGTTTTTGGGATGATTATATGAAAAATAACATTGCAAAAAAATTTTAGCTACATTTCAGTTTTCATCAACGTAATCTTGCTTAGTTAAGGAGAAAATGCCTTCAAAAACAAATTACTCTGATATAAATAAAATGAAAATGAAATTACCTTTGTTGCAATAACTGGAAGGGCTAAAATCAATGAAATGGTCCAAACAGCTATCATAAGCTTCTTGCAATTACTCATGGTACACAAAGATCGGGATCTTATTGGATATACGATAACAACGAATCTAAAAAATAAAAAAAAAAAAGAATTACGAAATTTTTTTTACACATTTCATTATCTGAACAAAATGTATGTATTCATATCTTCTAGTCTGAATGCATAAAACATGGCTCTCACTGTCGTATTTTTTATTTTATTTAGATGATCGATTCTAGTGCAATTATATAGGAGTTTTGATATTTGTGCATATTTTTTGATGTTTCCCGTATAGTGGCGATAAGTTAGGAATGCAAATTGCTTTTCGTGGAAAAAGCAATAGGTTTTGATTAATACATCAAGCAGTAGATTTACGGTATTGAAATATTTATTGAAAATAACTTTAAATTGCATTACGAGAGGCGAAGGGAAATTTGTAGTTTGTCATTAAGAGCGCAAGTAACAGGGCTATATCTAGTATATTTTCGCTATGAGGTTATAACCAATAATGTTGGAGTCAAAACTGTTGAATGTTAAAGCTATATACCACTTTCAAATTTTGACTGTCAAATTTCCCGTTAAAATGAAAATAAGAATCTGTTCGCTGGGTATTCCATAAACTATATATTATTCCAATATATAGTTTAGGGAATATTGTATTTCAATAAAGAGTTTTTAAATCTAAAAATGTATTTAAGTTTTCTTTAACCCCTTGGGGACTAGTGATTCAGAAAAGCATTCGTACAAAATCAGAATCAAGTTGTAATTAAATAAAAAACGGTAACTAAAATGTAGTCGTTGCTAATTTGACAGACTTACTTTGCTTTTACTTTAATTATTGGTAGTTTAATCATATATATAATCAATGCTAATTCAAAGTATAGTTATATAGTTTTATTTTGAACAAAGTAATGGTGAGTTAAATAAGTCAAACCATTATAACTCCGCCCACAAATAAACTGCTAAAGAATTACTTTGATTACCAGTTTCATATTTTTACCCTGATTGATACGGTTTTTTGCTGTCACGTATTTGTGACAATCGGCGCGAAAGGGTTAAGGTATACACGTATCATCTGACTGATGTTCACACCCCAATGACCATATATGGAAGAAAATACGAATTTCTGACAAAATAACCTAAGAAATATATAATAAGCAAAAAAATATATTTTATTGCGATATCATGCTGTTAAGCAAAAATAAGCATAAGTTTCCTTTTTTAATTAAAATTTTACTTAATATTTATTTTTTCATCTTCTTTTCAACAAATATAATCAATCAATATCTCTTTATCAGCAACCTTAAAATATATAGAGTTCCATTAATATATTTTATCATTTGCATATTTTACTTTCTTTATATTATTTGATCTGCAACAAAAGTGTGGAACATCATTAATTTTCAATACTGGATTACAACAACATATCATTTGCCATCTGCATTCAAAATTAACTCCTCAACTTCCTGCTTAAATTTCTGTATCATGTCTGCGAATAATGTATCAATTATTTCTTCAGAAATTTTTTCCAAGAGTTAAAAAAAATAAAATATATTAACTGAAGTTTTTTAAAGACTCTACAAACCTTGTTGCGTTATTCTAATCACTAGAGGTTAAGATGAAGTTTTACTTGAAGGTCAAGGCTTACTTCTTACTTAAAGGTCAAAAATTACTTCTTTCAATTCATTTAATTCAAATAGTTAGACTCTAAAAAAGGCTAAAAATACCCCCTTTTAAATAGTTTAAAGCATTTGAAAAGTCATTAAAATTTTAATTATTTGTTTTTCTTTATAATGAAATTCACTATTTATGATCAATAAGCGCATTATATGCATGCCATTAAATCTCAGAAAACAAATTCATTCACATTCTTCTAAGAAAAGGAATTAAAAGGCCAAGACCTTTGAAAGCATCCGGTATTTTTTTTTTCTTTTCTTTATCTGAGTTTATTAAGAGGGAATCTTTTCTAATAGCTTACTTAACCATGGTTTTTCAGTCAACTGAAAAACTAGATTCCAAGTCCTAAATTTAATTATTATAATGTAATGAGTTTTACGTTTTTAGCGTAATACATTGGAAAAATATTGTACTTTGTATAAATAAAATGTATGCAGTGAACTTGTAGTTTAATAAAATGTTTATTAGATTAATAATGCATTAAAAAATTCATTTGAAGCAAATAGAATGTATTTTTAAAACAAAACTAAATAAACCTTAGATTTTTTAGTTTTCTTCTCTTATGGAGAAAAGCGTGAAAATAAATCAAAGCAGCTTTTTATATGTTTTATTCTGAATTTATGATTTATGTAAAGGAACACAAAGAAATATTTGATAGATTGTTTTCAAAAGTTTATTTTATTAGCTGTTGAGGCTCTAAACTATTATTTCAAATTTATTTTTAATTTGGTTTCCATTGCTTAGTTGCCAACTTCAACTTTCATTTAAAATATTATACTACGTGATAGAAAAATAATGATTAATGTGAAAAGAACACTCTTCAAACTAAGCAACGCTGTCAAAGCTTAATATCTTAAATAGCAGATCTGAGATGTATATGTTTGAATTACTGATTTCTTATGCTGGTTAACCCTTTGACGCAGAATTCTTATTAATCATATATTTCTTACTTTTTTCATTATTTTATATTTATTTTGGTCAAAATAAGGGAAAATAGTATATTCAGAACATTAATAATTTATGATTATGAAATGTAGCATGAAACACTATAGATTTTTTCTGTGTTAAAGATGAAGTCTTTCAAACAAGGATCACTTCCAAACAATAATTTTTCAAATTTGCACACATTTGCAGTTATTTAGATTTAAGAGAAACAGTTATTTCATTGAAATTTTATATAGTATGAATAGGCATGAATCATTGAAATTTTCTTAATTTACAAAATCAGTTACTGATACATTTCTGATTATGTATGCAAAAATATTCTTTTTCAAGCTATATTTTTGGATATTATATTTTAATTCAAATACACTCATGGACAAAAAAATTAGCGCACCAAGAAGGAGTCATCAAAATGAAACGAAATTTTACATACGTAATGACAACTGATATAAGTAAATGATTAAAAATCAACGAAAAACGATAATCTTTGATTTTCTAAACATTTACTTACATCAAACTAATCATTACGTATGTGAAATTTCGTTTCATTTTGATGACTCCTTCTTGGTGCGCTAATTTTTTTGTTCATGAGTGTATTATTACGATAAGATAAAAAATGTTTCAGTAACTATTAGACAGTTTTTCATAATTAAGAGCAATATTTTTGCTCGTGAGTGGAGCTTCCTAAAAATATATTTAAAAGGGACACCGGTGTCTTATTTGCGTCAAAGAGTGAAATCACATATGTATTTAATTATTTTAAACTTTTAAAATCTAAATTTATAAATTAGCCTATATAAGTAATTACCTCGAAAATTTTTTTTTATTAAAGATGTACATCTTGTCTGATCTGCACTTTAAAAATTAAAGAAAGATCTAAAGCTATGTAGGTTTTATTATTTTTAATTATAAAGAATTATTTTTTTCGGGTTAAGGTACAAACAGTATGAATCATTAGGTTTAGTATGACTGATAACAAGCCATTATTTTACTTCGTTTGTAAACAATTTTTTTGTTTGAAAAAATTACTTTTTCACTTTTTCTGGGTAATTTATAGCTTTGATCAATTTCACATTGTTGTGAATCCGTTACAAAAAAATAATTTGTTTTCGATGTTGTTTTGCGATTGACAGATGTAAAATATACACCTAAGGCCGAAAATGAGTTTAGGTTTTGCACCAAACATAACCTTCTTACCTCAATTTCAACCTCATTTACACCTCATAAAATCAATCTCCTATATAACTCGGAAATAATTTTAGTTTATATCAGATGAAATTATTCACACCTCAAATATACGTATTTTCTTGAAATGTAGAAAAAATAATCCGTGCACCTCAAGAACAACCTCCCTAAGTTGGTTGCTCTAAAGTAGATTTCCATCAACCTCAAAACAACCTCAAGTGTGAATAAAACAAATTCATACACCTTGAGAGGTTGATCTTTTAATGATGTTTTGTTTTTAAAGTAAACACGGAATAAACCTCAAATTTATCCTTGATGCCTCAAAACAACCTCATATAAACCTTGAAAATACTTTAAACTTTTGTAAGAGATTGCAATCATTTAACAAAAAAAAAAATTTAATCTTTTAATTGTTTTAACTATTTTAGAAACAAAAAAATATTAACTTACCGTTCCAACGTAACTGCAACCAAGTTCAAAACAGATGCAAAAGCCGAAACAGATTCAGCATAGGCCGCCAACTTGCAAACTGTTCCTTTAGAATCCCATTGCACGACAAAATAATGGGCAACGTCTAACGGAGCACAGATGACAAGCAACAACAAATCTGCGATGGCTAAGCTGACCAAAAAGACATTTGTCACGTTCCTAGATGTCCTGTCACCAACTATAACCGCAATAACTGTCACATTTCCTGTCACTCCGAATATGAATGTTATGATATAAGTGATAACTATGAAAAAAAAGTACTGGTTTATCATCCAAGGAGTTAACATTTCACCAGGATTTCTGAAATAGATCTCATCCAAAGATAAGTTCTTCCGAACTGGATTATCAGTGATATTATGAATGCAATTATCTTCATCGCATGTTATATTTGTGATACTACTCATAACAATATCCGAAATTGTGTTGTTCATTATTATTGATAATTTTTATTGAGTCAGTGTGAATGAAGTAATGAGTTCGAATAAAAAAAATTAAATTTCAAATGATATTTGAAAATAATTATGCATCTAAAAAGTATCAAAGTTCTTCTTTTAAATTTCAATTTACTTTCTAAAACATTTTATGTCTTATTTTTAATTTTTCAACCAAAAGAATAAACATACTTTGTTTAAGTGCGAGTAATAATTTTGTAGTAAAATGATCGAAATAATTTGCTATTGATTACTTGAGAAAAATTGTTAATTGGAGGAAAAATATTTAATAAATTTTGAAAAATAAATTTAAAAAACAAATGAAGTTATATTTATTTAACTTCAAAAAAGTTAAATATGTTCTGGTTTTTATTAGTCTTTTAAATCAATAAAAGAAACCTATTTTAACTCAATTTAAAATACGTATGAACTATCTTAGTTGTACCTTTTTTAAATCTAAAGTTCATTAAATCTTAGTTAAAATATTAGACACTGCGAATTCTTAATATATTGAAGAAAAAAATTATAATCAAGAAGAAATTTTAATGAATGAAATAAATATGTTTTAGATAATTTTAAAATGATTTGAAACTAACTCATTAATAGCTTTTCCAATCTGAAATTCATTTAAATCTAAACTAAAATATTTTTAAAAGTCGGAAATTGAAAATTCTTAAAATTATTGAAAAAATCAAAAGCCTTTAAATTTTACTATACGTTTATAATAGAAATATATCACACGGAACTGAAAGCTTTAATTAATATATTTTTGAAACCTTACTAAAATTTAGGAATTTTAAAAATGCATCTTTAAAAATGTCATTAAAATTAAATTTTCCACTTCTTAAAATTAAGATAAACTTTCTCAGGAGAGAAGAAGTAAATAACGAAATAAATTTATCGAATAATTCCTCAGAGTTTCTAATCAGGGATGTGACAAAATACACCCTTAGTTGATGTATTATAGATGTACTTCAGACTTCCTTTGTTTCCCTAAAAAAGAAAAGAAACAGAAGCAATTAGTGTCAGTGTAACAAATATACACTATTCAAGAAGCCGTTGAAAGGATTGAATAGTGTAACTAATGATAGAATAAGAATTCGTAGCTTAAATCTCTTTTAAATGATGAAACTTGAAATCTTTAAAATTCCTATTGAATTACTTTTCTTAGTTCCTCGTTACGCGACACATATTCATTATCAATAAGAGCTTCTAGGATTTAAACGTGTGTCTATTTAGGGAAAACTTTAAAATATTTTACCTTCATTATTTTTGAAACAAAAAACAAAATTTACATGAAATCAAAGAACAGCTTTAATAAATGCTAGTTTATCAATCTTAACCAATAAATTTGAAGCAGATGGGATACCGTGTTCCTTTAATATATTTTTTTTTCTGATGCTCTAATTACAAGCAAAAATATATTTTCGTATTTTTACTTATAAAAGTATTCTAATGAATAATAAAAAAATCTGTAAGATTATCGGAATTATATCATTGTCATAATATGAAATGTCTAAAATATTCATATCAAAAAATTTATCAGTAATTGATTTTGTGAATTAAGAAAAGTTGAATGATGTATAACTATATCTCTTAGCATGTATTATACATGTATGAAAGATACATAATTACTCGCACTTTTCACAAACGTTCAAAGTTTTCCAAACCTTGAGATTAGGCATTAATAAAGCATTTATCAATATGTTAAACAAAAAATATAATACAAAATTTATAAGTTTGAATTACAAATTACGCCATCAACTTTTGCGCTTTTCGAGTTTGTTTTTCATTTCTCTAGAGTATAACGCATATATTGAAGAGACAACTTTTGACTTTGAAAGTAAATGTAAAAAAATTCAGTAAATAATTATACATTTTTAAAAAAAATACTTCAAAAAGTTTTGATTTTTATTTGCACTTTGTCCATTACCATACCGATATTAAATAATAACAGTGTTTAATGAGGAACTTATTAAAGAATTTAATAGTGAAAAAAAATCAACAGAAGGAATAAAAAATTAAGCTATTGAACACTGTTGAATTTTTGGTTTCTAAGACAAAGCAGGCTTTTTTTACTCTTGCCATCAAAAAAGTGTTCTTTGCTATAACTTTCTCCTTCAACATAATTCTCTCATTTTACATTACTATGGTAACCAATAAAAAGTGCAATTTCACTCTTTGGTCACCTTTCTCCTTCAACATAATTCTCTTTTTTCACATTACTATAATAACCAATAAAAAAGTGCTGTTTCACTCGTTGGTCACTTTTCTCCTTCAACATAATTCTCTTATTTAATATTATGATGGTAACCAATAAAAAAGTTTAATTTCACTCTTTGGTCACCTTTCTCCTTCAACATAATTCTCTTATTTTACATTTCTGTGGTAAGCAATAAAAAAGTGCAATTTCACGCTTTGGTCACCTTTTTCCTTCATCATAATTCTCTTATTTTACCATACTATGGTAACCAATAAAAAAGTACAATTTAACTCCTTGTTCACCTATCTCCCCCTACATATTTCTCTTATTTTACATTACTGTAGTAACCAGTAAAAACGTGAAATTTAACTCCTAGGTTCACATTTCTCCTCCTACATAATTCTCTTATTTTACATTACTATGGTAACCAATGAAAAAGTGCACTTTCACTTTTTGCTATACTTTTCTCCCCCTACATACTCTTATTTTACAATACTATAGTAACCAATAAAAATGTCTGAAAAGAGTCTATTTTCTCACGAAAAAAAATTGCTTTTATAAATAAACGCATTATATATTTCTCGCAGTATTTCTAAGTCATTTGAATTATTACATTTCGTATTAAAAGTAAATAAAAAGTCAAGAGTCCTAACTTTCTCCCTATTTAATTAACTTTTTTTTCATCTTTGTTATATTTCATTGATTGTCTATCTAGTAATTCAATAAAGAAAGAAATGCACAGTTACGAAAGCGAAGTTGACACAAATCCATTACTAACTCTGTCGTTAATAGAACATTCTTTCTGGCTAAAATAAATTCCAGCCGATACACTAATAATTATTAACAAAGTTATTTATCTCCGTAACTAGTATCAAATCACTAATCACGTGTCTAGAACATATGCATTGTTAAAAAAAATTATAAGTTATTTTATCGTTCTATGAGAAAATAAACTTTTATCCAGCTGTTAAATATCTTTATTAAATTCCGGCAAAGATAGTCTTATTTTTGTGTCTTGCTGATTTCCATTATTCATGTTATACAAATTCTCTTACGTAATGCTCTAAATGACATGTTTGTATTTCGCATTTAGTATTTATATTTTTACTGGTTGTAGAGTTATAAGGAGCATACCTTACATTCTAAAAGTATAAAATGAATATAGGCAAATTTTGAATAGTAAACGAATTTCTATCGCTTCGTTGAAATCAAAACAAAGTACTGTATTTTTGTAATCCTATTTTGAATTTTTTTTTGTTTTTATTTTTTGAAGCAATTTTGTAAAATATTTCAAAGAATAAAACGAATTTAACCTTTGGAATCAGCTTATTTAAATTCCGAATTAAGAGGAAACAATCAATTAAAAACCTGGTAGTAAGTTTTTGATAAAAAAAGTTTTTTTTGTTTGTTAAATAGTTACCAAATATAACCTGACACCTTCACTAAATGCCTTATCTTTTGTGAGATGTGGCAGTTATCGATGCATTAGCATACCTGCCAACTTTTAATTCCTTCAATTATGATTTTTCCCAGTGGTATTAAAACGGAATTAAAATTTCAATTTTAAGCAGCGAAATACATTGTAATTGAAAATACTTGAGCTGAAATAGTTGAGAGTAACGCATAATAATATATATGCGTAAGTTTTTTAAAAATAGTGGTGATCAAAATCATTTAGAAATTAAGTTTATAAAAGAAAAATTAGTATATATTTACTACCACTTTAAATGTAAAAATAAAATTTTACGCCAAATGCGTAAAAGTTGGCAGGTATGCATTAGTTCCTTCTCAAATAGACTGATAGCAAAATATTTTAGTCACCACTTTTTTTTAAATTGGTAATAAATGTATGACTATAGTCTCACTGGTCCAGTGTACCCAAAGGGTCAACATAATATTTTTAGGCAAATAGCATTAAAACAGGTACAGGGTTAATAATTTCTTTTTATGAAGGGTTGTTATATAATAAAACCTTAAATATACATTTTTAGAATCATAATTAAAAATAAGGACACAGAAACAGTATGGGATTTCAAATTAACCCTTTTGAAGGCCGTGGTAAGTATACTTACCACGTTTTACCACTTTTAATTTAGGTTTCCATTTTTCAATAATTCCAGCTTTCGTGAAGTCAGTTTGAATAAAATTGGTAACCACTTGTCACTTTTAAAAAACGTATAAAAGTTATAAAATGCGTAATTCCTTCTGAAGTTTGTAGCATTTCAGGAATTTATTTTATAAATAAAGAAAAATAAAAGTCAGCAAGTTCCTAATAGGTCATGTTAAATATATATATGTGTTTTATATTTACCACCAAAAAAATGGCATTTTTGTAAACTAAATGAGCTTTTTTTTTATATCAATTACTGTTCTTAAAATAATTTCAATTCCAAAAATACTTTAATTTACCTTTAATAGAAATGAAGGGCCCATTAAAGGGTTAATATTTAGGAAAGATAAAGAGTAAAAAACGTTTTAAAAAATCGCTGTTGAAATTTGATAAATCATTAATGAGGATGACGTATGCTCAAAACATTAGAATCTGTCAGATTTATAGATAATCTTAAAGGCGTTCCTAAAAATCGTATTTTGATCCTTTTTTATTTTTCCAGCAATTAAACAAGTTTAGATGGCTAATCTAGTCACATTTCACTATAAAGTTTTGAAAAAATTTCAATAGTATTCATCCTTGTTTATCTCTTATATACTAATTTTGCAAACTCAAATTTGCATTATTTTTATTTTCTGTTTTCAGCAACGACTCTAAAATGAATATTAAAGGTAGTCATAACGAAACACC